GCACCCGCCCCAGTAGCCACATCACTGAGTTGGGGCCCACCCCCTGTCCTGGTGAGACCCCGGTGTTCCCAGCCCAGGGGATGTGGAGTGTTTCCCCAGCCACTCTCTGGTCCCCTGGGGTGGTTCAGGATCCCTCTGCATCTCTCCTGGGAGCCAGATTCCTACGGGTGCAGTCTGAGGTGCCTGAATCCAAGAGGACAGCAAGCAGGGTGGGACCTGTGCATCTGGGGTTGGGGAGCAAGCAAGCAAGCATGGGGCTGGGCTGGGTGGGAGCTGGGAGTTGAGCACAAGGAATAAGGAAGATGAGAGAGGGATTTCTCACCCTGTAATTGCAGTTAATAATTCATGACTGTGTTTACTGCAGGAGGCAAAGGTCTCTGGTGGTGTCAGGGTGCGAGCACAGAGCAGCCTGCCTGGCAGCATCCACGGCAACGCAGCCACAGGTAAGGGATGTTGGCCCCCACCCTGGCCCCCACAGGCACCGGGGTCCATGGCAGGGGGAGGTGAGGGTGTCTGTTGGTTGTGGGACTACACTGCAGTGCTGTCATGGATTGCTCCTGGGCTCCAAGTGCTGCTTGGGGTGGCCCCATTGAGCCTGAGCAATGGAGCCTCCAGCCATGCCCAGGCAGAGGCTTCCAGAATTCCCAAGGACCCCCGTGGTGTCCAGCACCTGAAGGCCAACCCTGTCCCCCCATGCTGTGTCCCTAGAAAGCCCGTGCCTGGGGATGTGAGATGGAACCTGTTACTTGCTCACCAGCCTGGCTCAGCAGAGGGGACTTTCCCCACCAGTGCCCATCCTGCCCTGGGGGCTGCTCCCCAGGAGGGATTTGGGGTGGCAGGTGGGAGCAGGCAGCCATCAGCCCCAGGGTCTGGTTCTCCGGTTCTCCTCAGGCTCGTTGGCAGGATGGCATGGCGCTCGCTGGTGCTGCTCCCCTTCCTTCTGATGGCAGGTGAGGACTTTGCTCAGTGCCTGGCACAGGTGGGCGAGAGGTGTTGGAGCAACTTTCAGCCCCCAGTGCTCATTCCAAATTCCCTGAGGACAGCTGCGACCCCTCAAAACAGCTGCCCACCCTGTTGGTACCTTGGGGACCCAGGGCAAGATGGAGCGGGCAGGGGGGATAGCATCCAGCATGGGTGTTGCACCTCGAGGACAATCATGGTCTGGAGGTGGGAGGTGTGGGATGAGCATGAAGAAGGTGAGGGGTGGCAGGTACCCCTGCCTCACCCAGAGACCCAAACCATGGCTGGGAGCTGGGGTTGGAGCTATCCAGGCGGTGCCAGGCGCAGGAGTGCAGGTTGCAGACGGAGCCCGGCACAGGATGGTACTCAGCACATCTCCTCCTTGTAGTTTCAGGCAACACAGCCCCCTTCTTCAACATGACCTTCGTCTACGTGCCCGAGGACCTGGAGTTGGGTGAGTGGGGCAGCCTTGGGGTGCAGGAGCAGCCAGAGAGGGCCATGGGCAGGGGCTGATGCTGCCGGTGTCCCCAGGCCAGCTTGCTTTCCGACTGGTGGCTACTGACATAGACGGGGACACACTCACCTACAGCATCAGCGGGTCAGATGCCTTCTACTTCTCTGTCAATGCCCAGACAGGGGACGTGACACTTAGGAACTCCCTGGACCGTGAGGTGAGGACGGAGACCAGGGCATTGCCCAAGCTGGGGGGCCTGTGGTGATGGGGACAGAGCCATGAGTCCTGTGGGAGAGCTGCTCATGGCAGTATGGGGGGGGGTCACTGCCTGGCCCCAAGGCCTGGCTCCTTGTGGGAGAGCTGTCTGGGAGGAGCACCCCACTCAGGAGTTGTGGGTGAGAGGGTGCTGGGGCTCAGTTATCCGAGGATTGAGCTCTGCCTGGCCCTGACCGAGTCCTGCCTTGTGTCCCCCCAGCTCACAGCCAGGCTCACCATCATCGTCGGGGTGTTTGACGGGACGAACGAAGTAGTGAGTGACGGGCATGGGCTGGGTGGCTGCAGCAGGTGATGGAGATGGGGAGGGGAGCAGGGTCTCAGTGGGGCTGAGGATGAGGCCCAGTGGGGAAGGGGTCTAGAGATGGGCTTTGCCCAGGGTGGGTGATGCTGGATGGGTGCAGGGAGCCAGAGCGGAGCTGCACCCACCTCTGCTGGGCACCATCTCCTGCACTCACCCTGTGCCCTCCCTGACACCCTGTAGGTCTCCAGAAAGCTCACAATCATCGTGGAGGACCGTAACGACAACGCCCCAGTCTTCCAGTACCTCCCATATGAAACTTCCATCCCCGAGGTACCTCCCCGGGACCACGGCAGCAGGGCAGGGGCACTGGGTGGCTCCTCTGGCGTGGGTGTTCTGGCAGCGGGACAACGGTGTGACAGGGACAGGGTGATCCCACACCCGGGCGTGCGGTGACGCTCTCCATAGGCGTGGGGTGGTGGTGCCGCCTCTGTGCCAGGCCAGGACACGGGCGCAGGGCTGGGACTCTGCCCTTGCCATGAGTTTCTGATCAGGAAGTGCCCAAGCTGCTGCTCAGCCTCGGACAGGGTGAAGCTGGATCAGGGTGCAGATGGGGTGTGGGGCTGATCCTGACCCCCCTCCAGCAGCCCAAGGGAGGGGGTGAGAGGGATTCATCCTCTGCTTGGTGTGGGCAAGGGCAGCGGCTCCGCCCTGCATGGCTCATGGCACTGGGCAGTCCCTGGAGCCCTGCAGGGCCGGAGCACCGCATGGTAGGGCTGGCAGGGGCTGGCCCCCCACTATCACCCCACTCTCCTGGGTGGTACCACCACTACCCCCTTGTATGCCCAGACCCAGACGCTCAACAGCATCATCTACACCGTGTTTGCCAACGACAGCGACACCGGGAATGCCTCCAAAGTCAGCTACAGCATAGAGGAGGTGAGCGCAGGGCTGAGCTCCAACAGCCCGGGCATTGACCTAGCCAGGGGTCCAGCATAGTGGAGTGTGGGGGGCCAGGAGAATGCTGGGGGTCCCAGGACTCCCCCAGCAAGCACTCAGTGCCAATGGGAAGACAACATGGCTCAATGATGTGACACAGGGTGATGTCCCCTGCCCAGGTGATCCCAGACGGCACAAATAATCACTGGCTCTTCTACATCCTGCCCAATGGGAGCGTGATCCTCAATGGCTCACTGGACTATAGCAGGAACACCTTCTACCAGATCAAGATCGTCGCCAAGGTTGGGGCCAGCCGGGCTGGGGGTGTGGGGCTGTCAGGTAAGGGTGCCACGGGGCTAACGGGCGCTCTGCTCCCCAGGATGGTGGGGGGTTGCTGCACAACGTGTTGACCTTCCAGCAGAGCTCAACCTACCTGTCCCTGACCATCCGCGACCTGCCCAACCTCAACCCACGGTTCCTCAACGAGCCCTACTCTGGCTCCGTGCCCGAGAACTGCATCCTGGTAAGGAGCCCACCTGTCCCGGTGGCATGGCCCTGCCCTGGCCCTCCCTGGGGGCTTTGACACCCCAGCGTGCCTGGGCCACACGTATGGGTGGCTGACGGCATCACTGGTCCTGCCCTGATCTCCATGTCCCCACAGGGCACCACTGTGCTGACTGTCACCGCTATAGACAGAGACACGGGGGTGAATGACAAAATCTTTTACAGCATCTCCAGTGAGTGAGGGGGCAGGGGGGATGGACAGGGGATGCGCAGAGGCAGGGTGGGATGGGCAGAAATGTGACCATGAGGACTGGTTCTGGGCTCTGGAGTCCATCCAGTGGGAGAGGGCCAGGCCTGCATTTCCCAATGGCTGCAGCTGGTTCCTGCTGTCCCCTCGCCCTAGATGCCAGCATCCCCTTTGCTATCAATGACACGATGGGCACCATCACTGTGAGTGGGCACCTGGACCGTGATCAGCTGCCAAGTGAGGAGGTGCTGCTGGAAGTCACAGTGAGTAGGAGGGAGCAAGGGGAGCCCCATCCTCTTCCTCTCCACAGGCCCCTCTGACCTGCTCTCTCCTCCTGCCCAGGCACGTGAGAAGAACCTGGACATCCACGGCGAGGTGGCCCAGGCTAGCACTCTGGTGACAGTCGTGGTGACCGATGTCAATGATAACAAGCCACAGTTCTACCACTGCTCCCTCCCCAGCTGTGACTTCTCCACCAGTGCCCAGAACAACTTCAGTGGCTACATCATCGAGCACTCCTCCTCCAGATTCCCCGTGTCCAACCTCAGCATCGTCGCATATGACCCGGACAAGGTGCGAGCTTGGCCAGGGGCTGGGCTGGGGTGTGGGTGCCCATCCTGGCGGCACTCGCCCCTCACTCCTGTGCATCTCTCCTCAGCAGGGCATCAACAGCAACTATGAGCTGTACCTGCAGGGTCCAAATGCCAGTGCCTTCACTGTCTCTCCCTCAAGGATTGTGGGCACAGGGGAGGTCCAGCTCCTGGTGCAAGATCCATCCTCTGTGGACTACGAGATCAGCCATGTCATGGTGGTGCAGGTTTGTGGTGGGAACAGTCCCTGCTTTCTGCGTATGCCAGGGCACAGGGGTGACACAACTCTTCTCCTGCAGGATTCAAAAGCCAAAGCAGAAGCTGGCTCTGCCCTGCCAGTTTGGTTGGTGCAGGGGAGCTGGGCTGGAGTGTGACAGGTCTCTTTCTCATGTTTGGGGACCCATGTGAGACACTGTCCTTTCTCTGTCCTGCAGATCATTGCTAATGACACAGGGAACCCCACAGACTGCTGCTCCACAGCCACTGTAACCATCGACCTCATTGACACCAACGACCACACCCCTGAGTTCCCCCAGAGCACCTACAACCTAAGTGTGAAGGAGCACAGCCCTGCGGGCACCGTCATCTCCTCCAACATCACGGTCAGGCACTGGGCAGGGAGCAGGCACAGCTTACGTCCCCCTGGCGGGGCACTGCTAGTGTTGAGGGCACTGGTCTCTCCATGCACATGAGAAAGAGACGGTGCCAGTGGGTGTGGAACCCTGTGCCCATCAGGACCACATTTTTGGGGTGCTCACTGCCAGCAGCCATTGTCCCAGCCTGCCCTGGGGGCTGAGGTGGGTTGATCAGACGCTTCTTTCTCTCTGTTTTAGGCCTACGATCCAGACAGCGGTGTTTTCGGCCAGATCACCTACCAGCTGCTCCTGGAGAGCATGTACGTAGGGACACGGGCAGCCACGGCTGGGGCACTGTCCTGGCGAGGAGACTCCAGGTCTGAGCCCTGGTAACAGCTCTGTGTGTGCCATAGTCGTCAAATCTTCATGGTGAATGCCACGACCGGGGCGGTGCTGGTGCAGAATGGGAACCTGCTGGACTGGGAGACTCGCTCCATCTATTACGCCAACCTCCAGGCCAAGGATGGAGGCAACCTGGTGGGCACCACCGTGCTGGAGATCACTGTGCTGGACATCAACGACATGGCACCCATCATCACCGGCTCCTACTTCATCTCGGTGCAAGAGGGGCAGAATGTCCGAACGCAGATCAAGGTGTGCACCAACAGAGGTGGAGGGGATGACGGGGGGCTGTCAGAGAGGAGCAGGGACTGTCTCCACGGTGCCAGACAGCCCCGTTCCAAACACTGACCTTTTCAGGCCACCGACAACGATGAGCCTGGCAGTCCAAACAGCAAATTGGGCTTCAAGATCTTGCCAGGACCGTTCAGTGAAAACTTCACCATCGATGCGGCCATGGGTGAGATGCACAGCAAGGAGCCACTAGACCGCGAGGCCTTGGAAGATGAGCAGGGGCAGATGGTGGTGACGGTGGAGGTGTATGACCACGGTGTGCCCCCGCTCAGCAACCCGGTGAACGTCACCATCACTGTGGGGGTGAGCCCTGGGCGCAAGCGGGGACACGCTGGGCCAGGTGGTGTCTTGGAGCTGGGATGTAAGGGCAAGGAGGGGACGTGGGATCCCTGGCCATGTCAGGGGTACCATGTCCCCAGGCTTTCTGTAGGGTCAGAGGCGATAGCTGATGTGGGGAGGCAGGAGAGGGCTTGTGTGCTTGTGTCTGCACTCCTGTCCCCAGCCTGCTGTGGGGGACCCTGTTTCCTGGAGCAGCTACAACCATAGTCTTTATCTCCTGCAGGACTTGAATGACAACGCCCCCATGTTCCTCAACCAGTCCTATGAGTTCTCAGTCTTTGAAGGCTCTCCAGGTAGAAGCTTCATGGCGAGGCTCATGGCACCAGCAGTGCCCTGGAGTCAGTGCCCACTGGCCACTGAGTGTCTGTCTCCACCTGCAGCTTCCTTCGTGGGTGAGGTGCAGGCCACAGATGCTGACCGAACGGAGATCAATTCGCGGATTTCCTTCTCACTTCAGAGGGGCAGCGGCTCCAGCAACTTCTTGATCCGCTCGTCCCAGCTGGGGCCAGGGCACTATGGTGGGCAGCTGTCCGTGGACCCTGACATGTCCCTGGACTATGACACCTTGCAGCAGAAATTCTTCTCCTTGGTGGTGCTGGCGGAGAACACAGCTGCAGACAACGTAGGGGACACTGCCAACGTCTCGGTGGTGGTCCACATCCTGGACGTCAATGATGAGCCCCCCTCCATCCTGCCCGACTCGCTGCAGGATGTGCGCGTGAGTGAGAACAACACGCAACAGGGGCTGGTCCGCACGGTGAACGCCTCCGACCCGGACACCAACCACTCACTGGTCTTCGAGGAGCTGGGGGTTGCCTGCTTCAAGGGGGCGAGCAGTGCTGGGGAGGTGTGCTGGGACTGGTTTGTACTGGAACCCAGCGGCTCGGTGCTGGTGAACAGCTCGGACATCGACTACGAGCTGTGTGATGTGGTGGTGCTCATGCTGCGGGCTGAAGACCTGTACACTGAGAAGGGCAACCGCTACAGCCAGAATGGTATGGGACCAGCTCCTTGCTCTTTTCACTGCGCCTGGGCAGGGGGGAAGGGGGTATCTGCCTCTCCAGCCGAGCGAGAGCTGTGTGGTTTGGTGCTGGAGAGAGGGTGTCCCCAGCTCTTTTGAGGCAGACCTGAGCCTGCTGGGAGGACAGGACTCAGGGGCAGCAGAGGAGGATGCTGCAAGGCTGCTCTGTTGGTGACCGGAGCTTTGCTTTCGGGGCATTTGCAGAAACCCTGAGGATCATCATCACTGATGTGAACGACAACACACCAGTCTTCCTGCCCATCCTGGAGACCTTTGGTGAGCAGCCAGTGCTGGGGTGTCCTGTGGGTGCCTCTCTGCACCCACGTGTGCTCTGCTGTGCTCCCCAGCAGTGGGGCAGGGCTGGGAGGGATGCAGAGCCATGCTGGGGTTAGGTGATGCTTTCCCTGAAGGCTGTGGTGCTGAGGGCACTGAGGGATGCTTGGAGCTCTGCTGAGCCCTGGGACTGTGCAGATATGGCATCTGCACATCAGCATGACCACGCTGTCTGTCTGTCTGTCCCCGGCAGTGGTTGTCCCCGAAATCTCTCCTGTGGACCTGCAAGTGGCTACTGTGAAGGTGAGGAGCTGTGTGCATGTGTCTGTGGAGCTGGGCTTCCTCATCCCTGCCGTGGGCAGGCAGTGGCTGTTTGCATCTGTGCTCCTGCCACGCTTTGTCCCTGCAGGCCAAGGACACTGACTCAGGGCTGAAGGGAACCATCACCTTCTCCATTGTCAGTGTGGTGCTCGTGGAGGACGACGGGGTCAGCCGGCCCTTCGAGAACCTCTTCAAGGTGGTGACAACGTCCGAGCAGGACATCTACATCGGGAGCATCCAGTGAGGCCATGGGTCTGGGCCAGGGTGGGGGAAACGTGACTCAGCTCCTGCCTGCCGCAATGCAGAGCTGCAGGCAGGGCGGACACAGGCTGGCAAGGGGACAGAGCCATCCAGGGGTCCTGCCCTGGGCATGGTGGAGCTTGCAGGACAGTGGTGCCCTCCTGGGGAAGTCCCATGGAATCCCTGATGTCTGTGTCTATGCAGGGTGGCCAGCAACCTTGATGGCTCACTGAAAGGGCAGTACCAGGTGACGGTGAAGGCTCAGGACGGCGAGGCACCAGTGCACGCAGCACAGACCGTGCTGAATGTGAGTGTCACCCCTGTCCCTGTGTCTGGGGACACCCCACACCCTGCCCAGCCACCCTGGTGCGGGGCCCCCCCCCCCCCCCCCCCCAGCCACTCTCACCCCTGCTCTCCCTGCGCAGATCTTCGCAGTGGATCAGAGCTACCGTGTCCGCCTCCAGTTTGTGACAACGGTGGATGAGGTCCAGAGTAACTCCGAAAATATCAAAGTGTAAGGGGTGCTGGGCTGGGGCGGGGGGTGCATGGCTGTGCAATTCAGGACATGAACATGCAGGCCAGGACCCACCAACTGCATCTCCCAGCTTCACGGGCTGTGAAGGGGACAGAGCAGGTCCCCACTGGAGCTGAGGACTGCAGGGGGTCCGGCCGCTTCTTGTGCCCACGAGGGGAGCAGCAGGCCACCCACTCCAGCCTCCCTCCATCCCTCCTGTTCCCAGGGCCCTGACCACTGCAACCAAGGCAGGCGTCTACGTGGTGGCCATCCGGAGCATGGAGGACACTCGTGCCTCCCAGTGAGTGGGGCCCTGCAGGTGGTGGGGAGGGGGCTGTGACGGTGACCTGATGGGGGAGCTCACCCTGTGGCAGGCCA